GGGGGGGGGGGGGGGGGGGAGGAGAATGTATAGAGTACAGAGATTTTTCCCTCTGCATTGTGGTTTCAAATTAGGTTTAAGCTAGTTAATGAACGAGAGTTGCCATGCTTTGTAACTTGCTTAAGTGAAAGGATGCAGCTCGCTTGCAATGTCAATTGAAGCACCTCGGTTTATGATTTAGAAAATGGGGCAATGCATGGATGGTCATAGGAATTAAAATATTTGCAGTAGCTCTCTTTCATGGTACTGTCAGAAACTGAAGTTCTTGTTGCCATTGCTGCCTGTTGTAATACTGAGAGGAAATCTGATTTTCCTCCCTCGTGTTCCTATGGCCATAGAGAATTCAGAGTAAGACCCAGAGCCTTGGTTGTCCAAAGCCTTAATCCAGTCATTTTCACAAGCATGTTAAAATCTAATTTAAGTAAAATTGTTTATTTATTATTTTACTGTATTTCTGCCTTCTGAAGAAATAATTGGTTGATATTTTGAAGAAATGCATAGAAGTCTAGTAGATGAGCTGGAGAAGTTTGAGAAATAATCTAGTTTTATGTAAATGGGAGTTTATAATTTTTAGGTTTAGCACAAAGAACAACATAAGGGTAGAGTGGTGCTGTCTTTCAATATATTCTGACAGCCCGGATCGTGCAGTGAATAGGACTGGAGATTTTACATGCTATAATAGAAAGATTAACTGTAGAATAAACAGGGAGCAGATACACAGCTTTAATTTTATTGAGAAAATAATCAGTGGTATTACCATTTCATGATGGAGTTCAATTTTTTTTTCCTGCAGTTTCTTCTTCCTAAATTGTCTTTTTTTTTTTTTCTGTGAAGGAAAGCAGTAGTTAAATAAGGTTATAACCAATATAAAAAAAAAAACCTGCAGAGTAAGGCTCCAGTCATTTCTTTGGCCAGCGTGCAAGGGTTCCTGCATCTGAGGAGTGTCTGTTAACTTTGTAGAAACTGCGTGTGCATGGAATCAGTTGAGAGCTAACGCCATTTTTGTGCCTATCTAAAGCCAAAATCCTTCAAATAAGGTGAAAGTAAGAGGAAATACTATGTATTTGGGATGTGAATAGGAATCTGTCTTTTTAATGTACAAGTATGTTTTGTAAAGGTGTGACATAAATGTTTGCATATAATCACACATGTTGTTTTTAAACAAAATCTTTCCTTAGGAGAGAGAACGAAGGTCGCCGGCATTTAATCTTCATATAACCACCTTCCCTGAAAACAATGGAAGTGCACTTCAACTGTTCTGTCAACAGGAAGGAATAAAGGTATATGTAGAGCATTTAGTGACAGTTGGATGGCCAGGAACATTTTCAGAATGACCAATCCATTATCCAAACAAATAATTTGCCATCTTGCTGTAGGGAAGAAAATCTGAAAAAATAAAAATAGTAAGAAAAGTTATTTTTCACTGAAGAAAAGGTTTCATAAGATCATGATCTGGTACTCTGTCTAGTTCGTCAATGAAAATGAAGGCTGGTCAATCAAGATAACTTACATTTACTCTAAGGTAGTGCTGTAAAAACATTGCAGAGAAGAATGTGGATGTTGATGTGATTCATTATCAGGCTTGCTAAAGTACTTTGTTCGTGATATTAAATGTTTTCATCTAAGGTCAGAGATATGACATTCACCTATTATTCTACACCAAATTTAGTGAAGGGCCTATGCACTTTGTTGAATTAATATGCTTAAGTTTTATTTGCACCAGCCAGGGCCTTGTCCAAAACTCATTCAAATAGGTGAGATGCTATCAATCATTTTAGATCAAGCATAAGATAAATATCAGGATCTCAATTGGTTAGCTTCTGCTATGATAAAGCAAGAATTGCTCTTTTCACTCTGTTCTCCCTTGAATAGGATAGCTGTACAAATCATTTTATGTGCTGACTCACGTACAACTGAATTCAGACTTGCTTTGTTAGTAATGTTGCACAGCAGGTCAGGGTAACTTTTCTACTAGTAACTGAAGTGGAATATCTCTGTGTGTTATACTCCATGGCACTCGCTAGTAATTTATGCTTGCATTTATAATTGTGTTTACAAGGGCTCTTGTAAAAGGCTTGCTTCTGTTCAATGCCTTAATAAGCACAATGCTATCTGCAGTGGAATAGACTGAAACTGTAGGCTGCTTAATGCTAGGGAGCTGAACAGTCTAAAAGAAAAGAGTTAAAACCTGATTCTTGCCTGCAGGTTTGGTTGGGTAGTCATTTCCCAAACCACACCAGGAGTCATCAGTTAGCATATTACCTTTCAAATAGAGTCTCCGTGGGATGCCACACCTGCTTTTTAGCTGATCTGTTGTTCTAATTTGCGTGTTGACTATAGCAGGCACAGCTTAGCACGATTTAGAATTAATATTTTTTCCATTGTCTTCTGTTGCATTCCTAAACATAGGTGGTTTTTTGTTGGGTTTTTTTTTTTTTCAATCTGCTTTTTGGTTTACTTATTAGATAGACCAACTTGAACACAGCACATTATTCCTTTTTTTTTTTTAGAGCCAGGATGGACTCGTTTGTAAATTCTTTCCCAAATCTGTCTGGTCCTCAGGAAATCTTTCATTTCTTATTAAGCCTCCCTCACTGAAGTCTGTTGGGTACAGATTTATGAGCAAGCATATTCTGGTGTAGCTATGTAATTTGCAAGCTTAGCTAATTCAGCTTAAAAAAAAAAAAATCTTAAAGATTGGTGATCCTGACTACTGACATAATGCGGTTGCACAACACATGTAACATACTGTAAGTAATGAAGCTAGTGATCCAATACACAGTCATGTGAAATGTTTGCCTCTTCTTAGAAGTGCTGAATATGAGTAGAAGTTGAGGGTGCCAGCATTTAACAAGGCTGTCTTGCTTTATGCGTGTGTGTCAAGTGTTTTGGACTAATGAACTGGTCTTTGCCCGTGATCTCAAGCCTTTCTACTTTCAAATAGCACAGCTGCATACAAGCTGTCAGTGGGAAGGGTCCCTGGTCCATGTTGAGACCATATTTGGGATAGCTTAGGAGAATGTGATTAGTGCAGGTTAAACAGTTTCGTGAACCTTTCCAACAACATTTTAAAGTCGAAAATAAGAGTTCTGGAGCCTAGAAATGGACCCTGGCACTGTGTAAAATACAGACCTCGTGTGAATTTATTCCTGGTTGGTTGTTTTTTGGTTGTGGTGTTTTTTTTTTTGTATTGGAGGAGTGTTTTTCTTGATTTCAATTAATAGGCCTTAATAAGGATGGTTTGTTCTCTGCTTTTTGTGGATCTAGGGGCTGACTGACAGAGAAATGTGGCTTTCTGCTCACAAAGGTTGTGAGCTGATAGTGTTCAGCCCACCATGCATATTCCCTTCTGTAAGGCTGATTTGAAACTCCAAACTTTTGTTTAACAAAGAAAATAAGCAACAAACCACACAACAAACCTTCTTAGCAATTATTTTGTTCGTGCTCTCTGTCCTTTTAACTTCTGTAGCTTGATGTGCTTGATGCTCCACTCCAAACAAACAGAAAAAAACCAGTCCTTTAAGCCTGTTTATCAGTTTTGATCTTTCATGTGCATATATCAGCAGGATGATAAATGTGAATGTGCAGAAATGTTCTGCCCTCATGCACAGACATCCAGGTTGCTTGCTGTAATCAGGAGTGACATTTGGTTTTGTCTCTGAAAGTATCAATAACACTTTTGTAATTGTGATGCAAAACTAATGTTTCACTTATTTACATTCCACGTCTTTTTGCATGCAGAAGTGAATAAAGGGTACATAAAATGTAGCGTATAAAAACTGTTTCTCACCTACTTTATAAAAAATAAGCGTTGAACATCTTTTTCAGGATGTGAATATATCTGAACTTATGAAGAAGCTAGATATTCTTGGAGATAATGGGGTAACAAATTTTTAATTTAAAATATATCTCTAGTTTTATGGTTATTTTAAAGCAGTTTTTTTTTCCCCACAGCAGAAAGTAACATTCAAGAAAATAAACAGGATGATTTTTATATGCCTGTATTTGTATGAACAATACAAATGCTTAGACACTACTTTTACAAATATAAAATCTTTCAGTTAGTGAAAAGTGTATTTCCTCAAGATAGGATTTGATCTTGACTGAATGACATGGAAAAAAGGCACTGTAGTAGGCACAGGGAAAAGATAAAATAGGCTAGGGGAGAAAAATAAGGAAGTCAAAGCCAGATGAAGTTGTTCCTGAATTTTTCCTCTTGAGTAGTAATAGTAGCACCTGCTACTGTGAAGGATGTCTGCTGGGAGTGGATTCTGGGAGAAAGCACAAGGATAACTGGTTCCCTTTCTTCCCCTGTATTGCCAAATACAGTAAAAAATCTTGGTCATGCAGTTGGGACACAAACATCCATGGAGCTGTGTCCAGTTTATAGGTAGCTTTAATGGTTTGAGGTCTTTATAATACTAGTTTTAAGCTCTAAATTTAGTTAATATGTTGAAAGATCTGTGGAGGTTTCTACAGTACTTGCTCACTCTTTGTGTTGTTTTCGTTAATGGGAAGTCTAGCTCTGAAGTGCATGATGGGGAGGGAGATCCACTTGCTGGGGGTTATAGTCCAGTGAACAAGCATTTTTCTGCCTAGGAAAAAAGAAAAGAAATTTGAGCATGCCTGACGGAAACCACTTAATTTTCATTGAATTATGAACTGTTGAGAAAGTGTTGTGGGAGCGTACTTCAGCAATGTACATTGGAGACTAAATACCCTTGATTTAGCTTTTAATACTTTCAATCATGGGATCCTTTCTGGTCATGTTTATTATATCCTAAATTCTATAGCTGATTTATTCTTTGAAGTGCAGTTAAAATTCATTGCTTGTGTTAAAGGATGGATTTCCAATCCAATTTAAAATACATCTTTTTGTGTTTTAGAATTTGAGAAATGAAGAACAGGTTGCAATAATCCAAGCTGGAACTGTGCTTTCCCTCTGTGAAAAGGTAGAATTCAGTAAAGGTTTTTCTCTGCCTAAAGACTCACCATGTCTTCTAAGATACCACATAACTTTGCCAGGGAAGCATGGCTTTTCTGTTCAGGTCATCTGGATTGGAGCATGTATTCATCCTTACATGACTGTCAAGATTGTGATGTCTTGAGGTAAAATCAAACTTAAAAAATAAACCAGATTTAAAAATAAAAACATGTTTTGGAGATACTTGGAATAAAATACTAAAAAGCCACGTAAAAAAGAGACTTCATTCTCAGAAGTGCCTATGTCCTCAGCTCTCTGGGAACAGGGTGCTGCGAAGTCCTCTGTAAATCGTACCACCATGATCCCTTTTGAGCTCATTTCTGTGTACGACTAAAAAAGCTCTGAGTGGTCTGTGATCCTTTCCTCTGTAAGCCAGTGGGCATAGATAGCGAAAAAGTAATTTGTACAAGATAGGTAATCAGTCATGTCACTGAGTTCTGCATGACTAGTTCTTCTCCGGTTACAGAGAATGTAATCTGTATATGAATAAAGGAGACATTTAGAACTAAGGCTCACCTTTTTTCTCTGAAGAAGCTTTGCCTGTCCTTTTCATAGGTTCCTGTTAAATCTTTCCTAGATGCATTTTTGAAATTCAGAATCAGAACTTTTAAATAAAAATTTGAGCATTTTGTAATTATTTAATATGTATAATTTTAATAATCTACTTATCTAAATATCTTAATGTAGATAATCTAAATTAGGTAATTTAATAATCATTTATTTAAGTGAGTAATTGCTATAAGTGAAATAAAAATGAGGAAAAGTGCTAAAATCCCTATGCTTTTCATTGTGATACAGCATTAAAAGGAGGAGGTGGTGATCACAGCCCTTTGCATTCAATAAGGAACGTGGAAGAGCCTCAGTACACAAGGCTAAGCTAGAGAGCAAACGTGGCCAGAGTTTAGGGACTGGACCAGGTTATTATTGCTGAAGTAAATTAGTGAGCTTGTGCAAAAAGTGCCCCTGGAATTAGTGAGCTTGTTTGATTTGTCAGAGTGGTGCAGAATAGAGCATACACTTTGTAACTATAAATTATTTCAATTAGCAACAGATCACTGCAGTAAGAGATTGGAAGCTTTGTCAACTGAAATAACTCCTTAAATGAATAGAAACATACAGTTATGACAGAAACTTTATTTATTTATTTATGCTAAAGTTAGTCTATAATTTAATTTCACATTTTTTTTTCTTTTTTTTGACAAAAGTTCCTGGTTTTCCTTAATGGATTTGTTTGTGGTCTTATCAGATAATCTGGTTATTACAGAAATTGGGGACTCTATGAGGCAATTTAAGATTTTAGTTTTATCTTGTGTAGTTAAATAGACTGCATTTAGAGAATGAGGTGAAAACAGTTATCTACGACCTCTATCCATTTTACGTTGTTTTAGTGAAGTGCCTTACAGTAATCTAGTAAGTACAAGCTGATACTGAAATTGAATCAACAGGGTACTCTGAGAAGCATGAAACCTTTTGCTCCTTTTCATAGCGCATATTTGAGGTACAGGCTAATCAAGCGACTCTGATTTTCTCAGTAACAGAAGGCACTATCCGCGTCCAAAGTTTACTAAGACAAATAACAGAAGATAGTCTTATGCTGTCCTTAACAAAACAAACATGATACCACATTTCATAATACTATTCTTTACAGCGCACAAAAAATCAGGTAAAATCTGATAAGACTAGATGATAGAACTTTAACATAAGTTCTATTGGGTGCATATACTGAATTTAGATTAAAAGAAATTTAAAGCAATTCCGCTGCCTTCTCCAGTGTAGTGTAACCATCTCAGAGGTCCCTCTAAGTAAGGGCCAGACAGCTTCCCATGTGCATTCCTATAGTCTCTTAATTGCAAGAAACTATCATATATAACCATCTCATAAATTTGGTAGAGAAATCGTACTGTAGACATAGACGGTGTGCTAGTTATATTCACATGTGCTGATTAATCACACTCAGTGTTTACTTAGATCAGATCTATTTTCTCAGCCACTAGAAGTTTGGAAATCAAGCTGCCAGGCATGGCAAGTTTCTGGATTCTGCTGGCACAATTCCACAAGCTTATTTTGAATGCTACAACTGATTACACTCCTGAGCACATGGTTGCTTCTTGTGTGCCCCTTGGTTCCAGAAAGGCTTACAGGCATAGGAAGATCAGAATCAACATTTAGTTTTGCATATCATTCATACCTTCAAAAAAATTAGACCTCTAATTTTTGAAAATAACCCTTCATCTGCAAATATTGAGGGTAGCTGTGAGAGATGCTGAGGATTTCCCATTTCTATTGATTTTAAGGGTTCAGAATGCTCACCGTCTTGCTGAATCCTTTATTAGTAGTGAGGCTTTCCTTAGGAATATCTTCAGTCTGTCACCTTCAAAATGAAGAAAACAAAGATGATGAAAATAGGATCACTGATGAATACGGTATTCCTGTTCACTTTTTTCAGCTCTGTACGAAGCTAAACCTACTAAGTAGATAAAACAAGTTTCCAGTCTTTTAAGTAGTGGAAGGTCCAAAAGGATGAAGTAATGAATTCACATGTTGCTTATTTCTAAAATTATGTTCATATTTCGTATCTTTAGAAAAAAAAAATGGTGCCATTAATTTGAGTCTGAGCCCTGATTAATTCACCAAAACCCTAAATTAAAAAAGTTGTTGTGTAGTGCTTACTAAAAGAGTTAAAATAAATAGGAGTAATCTAGTGTTAGTCAGCAAAGCATTTGAGGAAGGAGATAATTATCAGTGGCAAAGCTACATTTGGTCTTGATCGGAGCTACAAAAAGAATCATTAGTCTAAACTACGGTTTCTGATAGCTAGTCATTGATCCTTGTTGTAGACCAGTACGGAAATGAAATAAAACAATTCAGAACTGAGCATTCCCATCCATTCCAATAAACTTAAATGCTGAATATTACTGTAATCCTGGTGACAGTTAGTAATTAAGCAAGAACCTTCTATCCGTGCATTTAGCTATTACAATATGTCATTTTACCTTTGGAATGCAATGGCCTTTCCTCTTCATTCTGTGTTGTTTGTCACAGAATTGTAGGGGATTCATGGTAGCAACTGCATGAACTTCCATCCGTCTGTCCATTTTATTGCTCCCTCTACATTACCAGTGTTTCAGAGGTGAGCCTCTTCCCCTGAAGGGTGCAGCAAACTGTGCAGAATAAAGAACTGACATTGCCACCTTGCCTTTTGTTTAAATTGCTGTCTGGAAAAATGGTGCCCTGGAGTCGTCTGATGGTTTTGCAAATCAAGCCAACAAGCATTGGGTGTATCCAGTTGGAAACAGTCAGGTTGATTTTGCATTCTTGACTCAAGTCTATTGTATCTTGAGAGCTTTTCAGGGGAAAAACCTTTCATTTACTTTAAGAAAACAACCTCCTGTTGTTAGTCTTCAGTATGTTTCTGCGGTCCTCCATTCTGCCTGTGTTTTCACAACCTGCTCATTCATGTGTAACTTCAAAGTGGATAGTTAGTAAGGGGGAAGCATATGCCTGGGAGTGTTGGCAACAAACTTGCAAAAAGTTAGGTGCAACTTTTTCAAAAGCTCTGGTTTTTTCATTATTTTTTTTTTTTCCTCTTCACACTGCTATGTTCATGTAGTGGTTAAAACAGATAGAGGGGACAGAAGCTGCACTGACACAGAAGATGTTAGACCTGGAGAATGAAAAGGTAAGGAATAAATAAAAATACAATTCATTTAGCTAAAATTCATCTCAAGGGAACATGTATAACTCTCATCATGGGTTGATTTGTGTCCTTTCTCTGCTTAATGGAGGTTGTTTCATCGTAAAATAGGCAAGAAGTTTCTAGAACCATTTATTTCTTGTATTCTTTGGGGTGAGAGGGACCTGTCAAATCTATATAGAACAAAAATAGCAAAATATATACAAATTAGGACACGAAGGCATAACTTTACAGAGCATATTAACCAAACAGTGTGAAATTGTCTTTGTGCTTTCTGTGTGTATTAATTTGTCTGACAATGGCATCATTTTTTTAATCTTGGGGTCTTATTAGTAGAATTGCCAAGGATGTCCCGTTGCTCTCTGGTATTCAGCTTCTGGACAAGTTGTAAAGACCTCTTACTCCAGATGATCTTTCTTGCCCCAAGGTCTTCATGCCTAAAGACAGAAAGTTTTCTCAAAAGCAGTTTTGTCTTGCGTAACAAACTCAGTGCTATACTGACCTTATTTTTCCATACGTTGAACAAAAAGTTTCGGAATTAATGCTTGGTTTTATTGGTTTACCATGCATGCTGTGCTTCTCATCTTCAAATGGCTTTACAAACGCTGATTAATCCTCGCCACACCTTTTACAGGTAGATAAGTAATCAGTATTACATTCCTCTTAAAGCATGGGAAACTGAGACAGGGAGGTTAAGCGATTTGCCCAGGGCCACTGAAGAAGTGTGTATTTGGGCCACAATCAAAAAAAGAAGTGCCCAGACTGTGTTCTCTGTTGAGTGTAGCCTGACATACTGATTTTACTTTAGGACAGGTATGATCCTTTCCACATTCCTTTATTTTTAACTCTCATTATGGAAAAATGCAAAGTATTTGGAGGGGGAAAGTGCCCGCAAATACTAGATTCTTGTATAAAAGGAATTGGAAAACAATAGAAAATATAGAAAAACAATAGTTTCTTTCTAACCTGGTTTATTATCTTACCACTTATTATCTCTGATGTTTTCAAGTCTTACTCTGGATAGCCCTGTATGTGTTTAGCAGAGCAATCTGAGAGTCTCCATTGCAAATGATTGAGTCAAATGTGAAATGAGCTTAGAAATAATATTCTAGCGTGACACTTTCAGAAGGGCTGAGCACTGATTTAGTTGTCCTTGGAACCCGTGTTAAGAGTTTGAGATCCTGTTCTTGTTTCCTTCCCTCTTGCTTTTTGTGGCCAGCTTTTACAATAGCAATGCGATCCGGACAACTGCATTGCTATTCTGGGATCTGTTGGTAGCTCTGACCTTCTCTGTAGACTTGGGCAAGTCAGTCTGCTTCTCTGGTGTCAGACACTTGTAAGCAGAACCAGGCCCATCCTTTACTGTGCGTTACACAGTGCATGGTGGTATGGCATCTTGTACAACAGCCATGCTGTAATCCACAGAAAATAATGCCACCTGGGTAATAAAGCTGGGATTCAGCTGCGTAAACATGGTGTCTAGTGCTGTATTACATTCTTCAGAGTTCTGCGGATGTCCACAAGGGGCTGAGAAATGTGTCCTACAGGACCTGTTGGAGACCCCTGCCCTTCTGGACCAGCAGCTGAAGTACCATGCTCTAAAATGACTTTAATAGCAATAGATGCCCATCTGTGGGTAACTGAGTTCCAGCCCCAAGATCAAAGCCTGACTTAAACTTTGGTTCTACTTTCAGTATTAATTCATAGGTAATTAAAAGAACTCCAAGTTTACCAAAAAACTGAATAATAAATATTATAGTTCTTATACAGAGAACAAATAGCAACTTATTCCCCTAAGTCCTCTAATACTGGTCTTAATATTGCTGCTGTCACCAATTATGAGTTGTTCTTAACAAGTGGGAGATCATCTGTAGTAATTTTATGATCTGAGCCCCTCCCATGCATTAATTTGCTGATCAGAATGGATTTATTTTAAACCAGGTGTTTGGGTTGGGAATTCATCATCATGGTTCATGCTTAGGCATGTTCTTTGCCAGTGCTACACTGACAGTTGACAGAAAAACTGTTGGAAATCCACATATATGTCTGAAGGTAAAATGTGGCCAAATAAGTGACTTTGGGAAAATCCCATATCCAATAAAGCTAACCAAACCAGCAACATTTGGTTTTGGTTTTTTTTATACTGTTAATAAAAGCTACAATTAATCATCTTAAGAACCTTATGTATTTAATTTGGCATTTATGCTATATGTTGAGGAAATGAGTTTGTTGAACAGAAAAAAAGAACAATGGAAAATATTAGATTCAATCAAAGGTCTTCTAAGTTCCTGGTCTACTACTAATTTTTTCGAGCATGAAAACCTGCCTTGAAAGAAAAGTTAATAAAATCAAGTAAATATTTTATGTTGTAGTTACCATCATCCAAAACACTCTAAAGGCACGTTTTGCAAAAGCACTGTCACCAGTCAGCTCTCTCAACTATTTAAACAACCATTCAAATGTCCACAGCTTTCTTGCAACATCACGCTTTTGGGTGCTGAGTTCCACTGAAATCCCAGCCTGTGTATTTTACACACACATATATGTATTTATAACTGAAAGTTGGTGAGTTTGATTTTTAAACACAAAAGCAAAAATTCCCTGTCAATCCTAGGTATCTTGAAAACTTCTTCAGCTAGTCACGTAACCTCTCTGGGCATCCTTTTACCCATTTCAAATTGGCTTCCTGCCTTTACAAGCTGAGAACTGAGTTTTTACTTCTGCTTCACTGATGCCTCAGGGAATGCTGCTGCAGAACCCAGCTGCAGCCCTGCATGTTCTGGTTTCCTCCCTAGAAGAACAGGCTAGACAACACAGATTAGGGTTTCCCCATGATTTCCTTAAGGGTACACATTATGTATTTTCAGAAATGCTGTAAACTGCCCTCACTTGTGTTTCTCTCTTCCCTGGGCAAGTTATGACTATCAGACCACATGCATGCACATTCCCATTCACCTGTCAGCTGTTCTGTGCACTTCTGTCACATCAAGGTACACTGGTGTAGAGGTCAATGCTTTTTAGGTACAACTCGTTAATATGATACATATATTTTAAGTGCTAATATTGTAAATTTGATATTCCAGTATCCTTAAGATGAATGTGGTCATTTGCTATAGATTTTCTTTTGCTTTCGAGTGGAAAGCTCACATAAAAATGATGGCATTTATGATTTTTCACGAATTAGGATAAAGAACAAACACTCCCTTGTTTTTATTATTGCTCAGGACCTGTTCAGTAAACAGAAGGGTTATTTAGAGGAAGAACTCGACTACAGGAAACAAGCTCTGGACCAGGCATACATGGTAGGAAAAGAACAGTCATTAAAATTTCATGTTTGAGCAGATTTGATAAAATATAGTGTGTTTTTTTTTTTTCCTTTTAATTATAAATAGGGTTCTTTTTAATTGATTTCTTTTTCTGCCAGATTAGGAAATCAAATGTTACTTAAATGGAGACTTAGGAAATGACTTATATTATTCAGAAGTGTAATGATTTTGCATTGCAGTTTTTATTCTAAAATATGTAAACATCTTGTTAGTTCATCTGGAATCGGA